CTCATTTTACAATGTTCTGTCAAATTCCAGTGTAGAGCATAATTTTTCAGTTATACATGAACATATATATATTCGTTGTCACATTTTTTTCTCTGTGAGCTACCATAAGATCTTGTGTATATTTCCTTGTGCTATACAGTATAATCTTGTTTATCTATTCTGCAATTTTGAAATCCCATCTATCCCTTCCCACCCTCTGCCCCCTTGGCAACCGCAAGTTTGTATTCTATGTCTATAAGTCTGTTTCTGTTTTGTATTTATATTTTGTTTGTTTGTTTTTGTTTTTTGTTTTTTGTTTTTGGGTTTTTTTAGATTCCACATATGAATAACCTCATATGGTATTTTTCTTTCTCTTTCTGGCTTACTTCACTTGGAATGACATTCTCCAGGAGCATCCATGTTGCTGCAAATGACGTTATGTTGTCGTTTTTTCCGGCTGAGTAGTATTCCATTGTATAAATATACCACACCTTCTTTATCCAGTCACCTGTTGATGGACATTTAGGCTGTTTCCATGTCTTGGCTATTGTAAATAGTGCTGCTATGAACACTGGGGTGCAGGTGTCATTTTGAAGTAGGGCCCCTTCTGGATATATGCCCAGGGGCGGGATTCCTGGGTCATACGGTAAGTCTATTCCTAGTCTTTTGAGGAATCTCCATACTGTTTTCCACAGTGGCTGGACCAAACTGCATTCCCAGCAGCAGTGTAGTAGGGTTCCCTTTTCTCCACAGCCTCTAACATTTGTCATTTGTGGATTTTTGAATGAAGTCACGTCCATTTTTATTGTCTCGATGATCCAGTGAATCACTGAAGCCCATACTGGCCTCTCCATTGGACACTTGTGTGTTTTATGCAGGAGACTACTCACATCATTAAGCTTCTGTACATCCCCTATGTCACATAACAGGTAGTCTCACCCATCATGAATGTACTATTGAATCTCCCAGGCTTACTTTCCGTTCTACCTTCTTCATGAAGCCTTTGGATCTGAGATACTGATAGTTACCTACTCTGTAACAAAGCTTTCAAGTCACTTTTGGGCTCTATCACTTTCACACCTGCATATCAGGCTCATCACATTCAGTTTCCTTTGCATGGACATATGTTTTGTACTCTTCACTGAACATGTGGGGTGTGTTGCATAAAATAAACTTGAGTTTTGGTCAATTGCAGACAAGGTCTTACTGAGTCTGGGAGTGGACATATCCTAAAGATTAAGGGCTTGCGGTTAATAAGAAATTACCTGGAAATCAAATGCAGACAACATTCCAGGATATGCCACTGAAATACTTGGATGTACCTCAAAAGCTCTAGGTTGGAAGTCCAGAGATATTAGCTCCTTCAGAAAGGTCCTATAAGATGGGTTGTTGGTGAGGGGATGATGAGTTCTGCAATTCAAAATGCCTAGATCTCAAGGACCATTGACAGTCACAGGGCTGAGGACTCCCATGACAGCATTAGAGGGTATCCTAACGGATAGAAGAGTCCAATTACACAGAGATCCTGTAGAAAGAGACTCTGATGTTTCAAAGGTGTTCTCAAATCTGGAAGTTTAGAAGTAAATGTAAAAGTGCCTTCTGACCTATTGATCAGGGTTTGGCACACTACAGCCTGCAAACGAAGAATGGATTTTACACTTTTAAATGGTGGGGAAAAAATCATGAGAAAAATAATATTTGGTGGCACATAAATAAATTTCATCATCCATAAATAAAGGTTCATTGGAACATGGCTATCCTCACTCATTTACTCTATATGGCTGCTCTCGAACCACAATGGAGAGAATTGAGTTGTCACTAACAGAGACAATATGGCCCAGAAAGCCTGAAGCATCTGGCCCTTTACAGGAAAAGTTGGCTGACTCTGGTCTAAATACAGTGTCAGTGAACACAGACAAATCCTGCTGGTTTTCCTGTGTCCTTTGAGCTGCCTCCATGACATCTTTACCTTCTGCAACCAGTGTGTCTTGTCAGTGGTCTCCAGCACACTTTCCTGTTGAGCCCAGAGGTTGTATCACCACACTTCAGTGGTAATCATCAATCAATCTAATTGACGAGAATAGAAAACCAGATCTATCCACACCTGGGTAGAGCCAACATCAGATGTAAAGAGATCATGATGGCTCAGTTAGCTGTGGTCTTTGTGGTTCCTAGGCAGTGTACGTCCTTCGGGGCTGGCCATTCCAGGATGATAAGGTCCCAACAGGAATGACTTTGGAAGCTGTGTATTTACCACTCTAATTGTCACACAAAGTTTGGCAAAGGCTTTCTAGAGAGTTGTGTTTCTGGACAAAGCCTTGGAAATTGACTGCATGATCTCACTTACTTCCTTCTTTTTTCCTCAGCCTTCTTCACTGGACCTGGCCTTTTAGGTAAGATTTTTTGACTTTTAAGAGGGAAGCCTTTATCCTCTGGAGAGTGGAAATTTTGAAGCTTCAAAGTCAGGGAGGCTCTGGTACAAAACATACCCAGTAGAATTCTTTCTGTTTTCTCAGCCCACCCACTCGGTCTTGTGTGACTATATTTCCACTTCCAACTCTACTTGAATTATATTTGTACTCAGATATATATGCCTTAAACTTTGATGTGCAAAAACTGAAATTTTTTTCTTAGTTTTTTAATAGTTTTATTTTAATTTCTAGCTCTAACCTCCATTCCTCACATTGCTTCCCCCAAGAAATTATGGAAGAAAAGGAGAGAAACAAAAGCAAATGAACAAAGCAAACAAAACTTCCCAATACAGTTTAAAATACACCAGGTCAGAGTTTTCTCACTCAACCGCTTCTTCTGGGGTTGATACCAAGTTCTAAGGGGGTTTGCGCAGGGTTGAGACAAGGTAGATAGTGGAAAATCTGATCCTCTGAAGTTAGATTCCAATCATGCAGGCATCTGGCTTATTACATGTGGCCCATGTTGCCATACATTACGCTGATTATATTCCTATAAACCACAGGCCACCAGTCCAAATGTGGCCCCTCTGGGTATAAAAGACCTCTGTCAGTCAACTGCCCTCCTCCATGGTAGTAACATACTATTAAGAAGGTAAGAGAAACAGAA